ATTTTGTTTCTTAGCGTGCATGGCTAAGGTTGCAATTCATGTCAGCCGTCGTAATAAAAGGCAAAACAAAGGCTCGAGTGAGCCTCTGGAAATTTTTATTCAAAGCATTAAGTCGAGGCTTGAAACAGAATATGAATGTTCCCGGATCACGAACCAACTGCCTGAATTTGAAATTATGCGGACGGTAGAGGATGCACTATGTAAAATTGAGGATAACACACTTCGCATTCCACTGTAATTGTGGCAGGTATGATCTATTTAAAGTTGCCTTGTCTTGTTGTTAAACATCGATACAAACGAACATCATTGTATTAGCAAACTTAGCACACGCACAGGAGCCAAGAGTTTTGTCCTCTTGGTGGGCTATCATTGCACACACTTGCAGCAGCGCATATATGTTTTATGTTACTTGTTCTGTGTTTTAAATGTTTTGATTTTCCCTTGGAATTTGGCAGGGGGGTGGTACCCACTTAAGTGCGAACCGGTGTCACCGGCCTGCCTACGGGGTTCCAAGGTGTTTTTGTACTGTTACGTGATTTTATTTTACCCGTGAACCAAAAAGCATAATATAATATAATACAATATAATACTCACTTTTTCATAATGTCGCAACAATGTAATAGCATTATTATCGTCTTTGAAGAAATCACCGAATATAGCTCTATTCAGAGCTTTCAAAGCAAACATGGACATGTGCTCTGTCAGGTTTATATGATCATTGGGAGGAAGCAATCCTATTTTATCAGTTGCATCATCAGCAGCCTTGATAATAAAACAAATGACAGGAGAGAGTGTGTGAGTAGTGCTTTGTCAGTTTTGTGGATGATTTGATAAGAATGTTATCCATTCATATGAACATACTGTCGTCTTACCTTTTGAAAACTTCTGTAGTAATTTCCAACAGCCTCGTAGGTAAATGATTTGTCATAAATGTGACGTCGCTGTTTTCCTTCGTCTCCGTGTGCATACTGTATACTTGTCAAACCAACTAAACATTTGCCGAATTCGAAAATTGTATCTGGAACAAATCAAATGGAGATCTCTATATGTATGTTGTGATGGGAAGAGAATGAAGCATCAGTTCTGCATACTGAAGGTTCATAACCGACATTAGGCGAGTTGCAATTTTTTTTACTTAGCATTTACCTGATGTTATTGTGAATATTTGTTTAAATTTTTGCATTTATAAATTCATGTACTCAATCTACCTGCATCTATTCAGATTCATCAGACCTACTTAATGGTAACGTTGACGCTTAGCCTATGTGACACTGTTTAATTTGTCAATGCGTAATTGATTTGTTGTTATATGACGCACAATATATTATTTTCCGTTCACTACGAGATACAGGGTTAACACCAGAGCAAACATAGGTTTTATCACCGTAGTGGCGTCAACACATCTTGTGAGGTTATTGTTGGGGTATTTCCTCGCGCAATAATGTGTTATACACCTTTGATGGTGGTTAATTTTGTTTTTTCAATGACATATTAAAAGATTTGCATTTCGACATTTAGCCATGAAAATTCACACAATGCGTGCGATCTCGCAGTGAACTGAAAATTATCTATTCACAATGTTCAGAGTTTGAGAAAAACAACAATATTCAATTCCGCGATCAGAAATGTGAAATATGTAGAGCCTGGTATATTTTAATCATACACATAATTTTAGAGGGAAACATGTATCAACAAAGCCAAACAATTAGTGATACAAATTTACCTGGTTTATCAAACAATTTGATGACATCCTTCCATGCTTCTGGGGATGCTAAACTAACGACACGAATCCTCTTGTGCCAAAATACAGCTACATGTCCATATTTGGAGTGTAATGTTACAAGAAATTGGTGAATACTTCCAGCAGCTGTGATATCAAGACTGTTTCCTTCCCTGAAATTGACAGAGTTAATAAACAAAAGTTATATACGATTTATAGAGCTATTCACCAAGTTCAGGAGCGAGCAATTGCACGTTACTTTTCATAATCATTGCAAACAGTTTACAACACACCTCGATAACTTGTTGTTACTGTAAATATTACATTTTGCATTTCATACGAAAAAACATTCAGTCTGTAAATGTGTGATGGAGATATATTGAGATAAACCTTTTAATTTCAAAAAATGTATACTTACTCAGAACTAGTTGGAGCCATGCCAGGTATTTTATCAAGGATTGAATCATGCTCTGTTTTCTGTAATTTAAGTGACATCAATATTATTTGATGACGTGGATTATAATAAATATTTTTCTGAATATTTGGAAGCAATGATTTTTCTGCCATCCAATTTATATGACATTCACTTTCAGTGACAAAAATCAACCAAAAAATAAATATTGAATTTCATCTCAGGCTTCCGGTATGAAGAACAGCCAAATAAAACATTATAATACCAAAAAAAAAAAACATTAAGTTGGGAATTTTTTAACGTATTTCGTGTACCCTAACATTCAGTATATTCACAAACAAGTCACGTTCTGTGTTAGACACAGGTTGTCAAGCCAGGTACACTGACGTTATGCACGACAGGAATATCACGTAGCATAGCGTAGTAATTCCGTGCTATATCTAAATGTCGATAACATAAATGTACCTGACCCGGATTTTATCTGTGCCTACTTAGGACAAGGCTTCTCAGTGCGTCTGAACACGACACAACACAACTGTAATCCCAGAAATATGGTTTATACACCCATTTTTTTTAATCCATACTTCACAAAACTAAATAAAATTCTGCACACTGATACGTTACCTGTTTAGGACCAAACAATCGGTTCAGATAGAGAACAGTGAGCATCAACACCGATATGACAGCGATAACAGCTGATATTAATGAGAAATCAGTCATGGCGTACTGTATGATCTAATAAACCCTGTCCAATGATCCTTTGCAATACTTACTACCAAAGGACAAACGAGCAAAGTACATGTCGTCACCTTGTGGTACACATACACCGGTGACGTTATAAGATGCGCTTAGCACATGATGACAAGGAAAAATAGGGAGTATCGCAATTGTCAATTAGTTAATAAATAAAACAAACAAAACAATTTACATTGCCATCATATTAATATTGATTAGTACTGACGCAATCTGATTAAAATCTGATGTAGTGTACGGGCTTTAATTATTTTGGCTATAAACTTATTTTTATTACTTTTGTTATTTATGCCTTTTTATTTTATTATTTTACTTTGATTTTGTGATTTTTTTAATTCCGCCATACATACATCTTAGCCTCTGCCTATGTAACGAGATTTCAACGAGACCCACTATCGACGTTTTTAGTCAACGAATCACAGACCTCCTTCTATAGCGCACCTTGATGACGTCACCGGCAGAGTCAGGTCGCAAACACACTCAAATAAAATGGCGGAATATATCGACGTTAGCGACGAAAACGATCGGGAAAAACACTGCTTTTCGGTAAGTTTATCATTGTCAAATGCAACGAAAGTCATCTTTAATTTTTATGTTTATATTATGGCTTGAATGGTTCCAGTTTAGCTCGTTATTTTGCGTAGTTATTCCGGGAGTGACGATTTTTTCCCCCCCGGTTCGACTGAACACCGATATCTTTTTCCAGTCGCTTGCCCTGGAAACGGGTTTTGTTGACGATCGGGCCAAAATCGTCTACGGTATTGAAGCCGTAGCTGTGAATATTCATCAAAATATATCAACATTTTGTACATTATACAATAACTTGTTATTAAAGTAATTGAGCTGATTTAGACTGGACTAAAATATTTTTTATTTGGAACACATCGCAATTGATCAGGAAATATTTTTTGCTCCAATATTCTGCGTTGATGCCGTGGGCCGGTGACCGTTATACAATTTCAAATCAGTTTACATTGTTTACTATGGCTGTTTACAGTGTTCTAATCATTATGATTTACTTATTTTTTGCTTTCATTCTAGATAATTATGCTCAGTGTTTGATTGAAGCGATGACTGAATAAACGAACCTTGGCTGGCGAAGATGCATCAGGAAGTGCACACATTTGTTGGGAGTGAAACAAATGTTCAATGTAATGACAACAATTGTAAAATGCTGTGGAATCTCTTTTGTAAATAAATAATATACTAGTAATTTTCTAATAATGGTTTATTCAAGTGGGCAAAATATAATGTACATAAAGACTGCCCTTAGAGTATTGCTACACTGAAAAGTAAGCATCCGACAGCCTGTATAAAAGGGGGCTGTGATTGGCTGTTACTTACGTGATATTTGAACGGGATTTACATAGGCAATGGGTCAGAGCCTTGTTGGCTTTCGCAATTACCGAAACTTAAAAAAATAAATACTAGATCAAAATAAAATAAAACAAAATAAATATACTACAAGCCAAGCCAAAACTAGGATCTTATTTTAATCAGATTGGTACTAACGATGATGTCACATACCATTTTAGGATTGGTCGATATGAATTCTAACGTACATTTAGGGTTATGAAAATGAATGTTTATAAAAATGTATATATTAAAGTTTTAAAATGTATCCATATCCACGGTTTATTAGCCGAGCTGAAGTCCGATGCATGTCTGCTAATTCTTCTTTATTATAAGCAAACTGAATTTTCTAAATCCTTTTTCTTAACTCCGATTTTGTATACAATACATTATCTTTGTTTCTCTCTTTTGCACTTTGTCCGTGACTTCAATGTCTTTATTACTAAAAGGTGTCCAAGTTGGAATAGAATAGTGCAAATTAATATGAGCTAAGGCGTTATATAAATGTAAAATAACGATTTTTGCTGGTTTTACGCATATATTTCTGCAACTGGTGAACCATTCATATCTCTACACCTTCACATATAATATAAACATCATTAACGATTAACGATTGTACCGAGATTGAACACGAGAATAAAGCAGCTAAACGTGAAAGGGACTTCTGAACATATAAGTGTCACAGTGAAATAGTTGGGAACCTCACACAATAATATTCAGCATAGGCAGACTAGTTCAGAAACAGTCAACAAACTATTTCGTGTAAAAAGGCTGCTTGTTTTTCGGGTGGATAAGAAAAATGCAAGAAATTTGCATATTCGGGAGAGGGGAATGCATTACTGGTTTATTGGTGCGGGATTTCACGCATTTTGGTTAAATAATTTTGTTTTTGTGAATCGGATATTTAAATAATAATTAATCATAATCGTTTTGATTACAGCTTCTTCCTCGAAATTCAGATGTAAAATAATATGGTCATCACTTTGTGTTGCATTCTTTATTAAATAAATATTACTGTAACC